GTATATATTATATTTCTCGAAGAAAGTGCTTTTTTTCCAATATATAGTAGAGTAATAATGCGTCGGTTTTCAAGTATAGAGTACAGATAAAAGAAGTGGGGGGGGGACTGTGAAATAAAATGTGTAACAGTAGAATATATAGCTTGGACAGTAAAATAATAGCAGGAAGTGTTGTACTGGTGCAGTGCGGTGAGATGGCTGGTATATTGTAGTGGTATTTCCTGAGGCGACATAAGCCATGATGGGGAGAGGGTATAAGMAAATAAAATATGGAAAAAGCTGGTGCRAGATTRAACTGAACTTGTGTAGTGTGGATTTGTCTTGAAAGATTAAATTGATGTTTAAACTTTTAAAAGATTGATTGATTATAATTATTATTTATTATACGCCGACGTGTAATTGTCACCTGCAGTCTATTGCAGTTCGTCAAATAATATTTTAATATTGACYTATTTGAAATTTAATTTAAGTTGACAAATCAAGTACCTATATATGATTTTTAATGTTGTAGTTTAATTTTGCATGGATGTAATTATAATGAATTTTATTCTCGGAACACCATAATATATATAGCGACTATTCCTYTAATACTCATATATYCATAATATATGTATGATATGTTTATATAAAATAATTAAAAACGATCGGTACATTTACAATATTTCTATAAACGTATGGTGCTAAATATTGTTTGATTGTAAAATGTATCCAACTTATATGTCGTATTATCGTTTTCATATTGTGATTATAATATATTATAAATACATTGACATAAAAATTATTTCATAATATATAACTTATAATATTACTACGAAATATACAAGCAGTAGGAAAATAATTGTAGTTGTTCGAATTGAGCGTGTTACATATATATATATATATATATTTTTTTTTTGGATGAATGACTTAAAGGTTTAAAAGTGAATTTCATTAATATTTGTTGAAGGTACTGAGTTTTTGTGATTGATTTGGGTTGACAATTTTAATGCATTGTTTTAATCTTGATTGGTGGAAAATGTCCAACGAAAGATGTGTGATGGGAGCAAAATCATATTTTTCAATTTTATGTATTTCATGTATATTTGTGTAACATATTTTGTTTGAAAATTATAATACTAGGTACAATAGAAGTTTAAAACTCAGAAAATCGATTACAAGTATGTAACGTTAAAATAATAATATTAATGGTGGCAATAAAAAAAGAAAAAAAAACGGTAATAGTAGTATAAAGTTTTTCTCTTGGCGTCTACATGTCGGCTATAAACGAAAATGATTATAACATTTATAACAATATGAAACAATATATAATACGTAATCCTCAAAACTGTAAGAGAGAACCGAAAAAACTAATTAATAAAACAAACATTTACTATGATAAGAAGCGATGACGATATTAAAATGAAAGCAAATTAAGTAAAAAAAAAAAAAAAAATTAAAAAAACCCGAGTGGCTCTTTCGAGATTAAGTGCTCTCGAAACCGAGTGATTTCGTACAAATCATGTTTTATTTTCTCGACGAGTTTCCCATTCAGTTATCGTAAATTATGTTTTATCATTGTGTGTAGGTAAATATATATAAGCGTTTTCTATTCAATTTATATTTATATATTATATGTATGCCACAKATAAACTTCGCGTCAAAAGGTGTTCTATATGTATATTGTATATATTTACAGTGAATGACCCATGCAGCTAGCGTTTTTCCGGTGCGGTCGTTTCGTTTCCGGCCACCATCATCGTGACGCTTATATTAAAGTCCACGATCTGCACGTATCTCCCCCTTTACGCGTTTACGTCATTAAACGAGCCATATGGGGGGTTATCCGGAGATATAGGAGTTTGATGCGTGAGGGGTTTCCAAAATGTCGTACTACTCGAGGGTTTCACAAAACGCGCAAAACGTTTATTCAATAATACGCGTTGCTTTCTCGATATATATTATTATTTCCCATAAAACACTGTTATTGTGTAGCCAGGGTTTTTGTTGTTCCGTGAAAAGAAACTTATAATTATATTCCCTGTGCAACATCTGAAAACTTCTAGAAGCGTAATCATCTGCAGCGTATGGAACGCAATTCCGTTCAGAATTTTCGCTGMATATTATTATCGACCACATAATAAGTAACTGTATAACACATAAACTGTTTTCACTCACTTATTCTTCATCGCGACGTCATGTCCATTCCATTATAATACAATATTATATTACAGTCGTTATATACCGCCAACACGCATCGGGTGTAACAATATGATTGTATTTTTCAGTACATATAATATAATATATGCATTATATTTGTCTCGTATGTTAATAATATATTATAGTGAGAAATTGCATCGAATTGTCATACCCCAACGTATAATACGTAACGTGCTTTCAAGCAACACCCTCGTAGTTTTTTTAAATTAAATAATTTTTTTTTTTTGTACTTATTATGATTACGGATATACGATACACCGTAGACACGTCTTGATGATGAATTAATTTCGATTACATATGCTTTTAACGCCCACCGTTTTCGTATTAATATTATATTGCTGAACTTTCATCATGAATCCTTTTTATTTTTTTATTTCTCATTAGCAATAATTTATTTACACGAATTAATAATAATGCACGTACCTATATATTATATATTATTTATTCACTATTCTCATGTTTATATACCACTGAATTAATCGAGTGCAACATAAATCAACAACAATTAATGTGTGTTTTATAATAACATATCATACGTATTTTAAGCGTCATGTGGATTGATTGGATATACCGATCATTTGTTTTGATGTTTTAATTAAAAAAATAAAATATAGGTATATAACTATAAGGCTACAATACCGTTATAGCCTTGTGATGGAGGTGAAAAAAAATTAATAAGAAAACGTTCGTCGATTCTCTATACAATACATCCAAAAAAACTGAAAAACTGTAACTTTGACATATATTTTATATACCTACATATATGATCACAATTTATGCTCATTATATATTATAGTGTTGTGTTTGTTCACTGCACTCACCAACGTTTTGTCTAAATTTGTTTTAAAACTCTCTGAACAATAGTGTATGTGTGTACAATTCAAGTATATATTTAGATTGAATGTTTATTATTGTAGATAATTTTCATATGGGTATGTAACAAATGATTTTTCGTAAATAAAAAAAGTATGCAASTATGCCGAAATATGTATTTATATATATTTTATTATGCTAGTGTTAATGATTATCCTGCGTCATATCGTATATTGTATGGTCCTTGACTTGCCAATATTACCAGATACAAGACATTTACTCTAGGGGMAAAGTTCCAGTGGTGGTGGGTGGCACGTCGTACTACATTGAGTCGATTATCTACGACAATCTGGTGCAGGGTTCCGTTGCCGGGGAATCGGAACCGGATGCTGCGGACGACGACGACGAGCATGACGACGACGAGCTGGACGACGAAGGCGATGGCTTGTCCGCGAACGCTTTCCGCGAGTACGCCGGATTCCGGAACGTCAACGACGTGCAGACGGCCACCACGGCGGTCGGCGCCGGCCACATGTATGTGGACGCGTTGGTTGAGGCGGTGAAGTTCGCGCAGAACATGACGGCCGTCGGGCGACTGACGGTCCGACGGTACAGGAACACGTTTGTTGGTGCGGATAACGTGGCGGAACCGTGGCCGCCGACGGTGGTCGAATGCGAGACGGCCGCGTTGTATGCGCATGGCGTTCGCGTGCTGGATGCCGTGATGGCCTCGGTCGGACGGACTGAAGGTGTACTGGACATTCAGTTCGAGGTGACGGCCGCGGACGTGGTGGTTGGCCACCGTGAGCGGTATCGGTTCGGCGATATCCGGTCCAGGCTGGACGATTTGCTGAAGCTGGTGAAAACGGCGGACATTTCRATGCAGGATGCGGGGACCGTCGAAGTGGACGCGTACGTCAGGAAAACCCTGTGCCGGGTGCATGCGGAAGTGCAGATGAGGATGCAGCGGCTGGCACTGGCTTTGTTGGCCGACCACGAACGGACGGCCGTGGATCTGCTATCGCCGGCCACTCTCAAGGCGCACGCCGCATACTACGATCCGGTGGCGGCCAGTGCGCTCCATCCACATAACACTCGCAAGGTGTTTAGGTATGTACCGTAATACCTTGGTATTAAACACGTGAATGCGGTATTAAATGTAGATCTGTATAGGGTCGTGGATTCACTGCAGCTATACAGTGTCGTGTAGCATTTATCGTCCGTGGTAATCATGGTATCATTCACTAACCGCGACCTACCAGCTTAGAAATAGACACCACTCACGACATAGCTGTGAGCCTGCAGCCTTAAGTAAATATATATTACTGAACCCGTTGTTAACCTCAATATATGTCTTTCTGCTCTGTTCAGTTTCTTAAGTTTTCTTAAGTTGAGATGTATTCAATTCTAGGTATTCTCGGTTTAAACTTGGTTATACCAACCTACCAAAAGTTAAACGTCCAATCAGAATGCGATTTGACCAACACGATACGACACACGACGTAGCTGTGAATCCGGCTGTAGTTTCCTTAAATTCACATTCTGATTGAACGTTACTTTTTTGGTATCTCGCGTAGTAACCAATTTACAATCGAGTTTACCAAAAATCGATTACTGATCAACTTTTAAACCAATATGCTTATCAGTTGAATCCGTATTATAGTTACCATCACGATTACGCACGACCGACACGATCGCGGATTGTAGCTGTGAATCTATCGCTCAGAAGTTTCCATAATATTATATCGTTTCTACAGTGTTCGTTGTGCTAGCCTTAAATTGTGTGTTAAAACAGGAATGCCATATTCATGTGTTTAATATCAATGATCGTAACTCATTTTATTGTTTGTCGTATTCATAAGGATATAAAAACGGGCGGAAAACTGTATTTGCGCATGTTATGATGCATAAAATTAATTGTATAAAGTGTAATAATATTATTGTGCGTCGTTTGCTCGTCGAGAATAGCAATTATTAATGTAGGTACATATTGTGAAATAATNAATGATTATCCTGCGTCATATCGTATATTGTATGGTCCTTGACTTGCCAATATTACCAGATACAAGACATTTACTCTAGGGGAAAAGTTCCAGTGGTGGTGGGTGGCACGTCGTACTACATTGAGTCGATTATCTACGACAATCTGGTGCAGGGTTCCGTTGCCGGGGAATCGGAACCGGATGCTGCGGACGACGACGACGAGCATGACGATGACGAGCAGGACGACGAAGGTGATGGCTTGTCCGCGAACGCTTTCCGCGAGTACGCCGGATTCCGGAACGTCAACGACGTGCAGACGGCCACCACGGCGGTCGGCGCCGGCCACATGTATGTGGACGCGTTGGTTGAGGCGGTGAAGTTCGCGCAGAACATGACGGCCGTCGGGCGACTGACGGTCCGACGGTACAGGAACACGTTTGTTGGTGCGGATAACGTGGCGGAACCGTGGCCGCCGACGGTGGTCGAATGCGAGACGGCCGCGTTGTATGCGCATGGCGTTCGCGTGCTGGATGCCGTGATGGCCTCGGTCGGACGGACTGAAGGTGTACTGGACATTCAGTTCGAGGTGACGGCCGCGGACGTGGTGGTTGGCCACCGTGAGCGGTATCGGTTCGGCGATATCCGGTCCAGGCTGGACGATTTGCTGAAGCTGGTGAAAACGGCGGACATTTCRATGCAGGATGCGGGGACCGTCGAAGTGGACGCGTACGTCAGGAAAACCCTGTGCCGGGTGCATGCGGAAGTGCAGATGAGGATGCAGCGGCTGGCACTGGCTTTGTTGGCCGACCACGAACGGACGGCCGTGGATCTGCTATCGCCGGCCACTCTCAAGGCGCACGCCGCATACTACGATCCGGTGGCGGCCAGTGCGCTCCATCCACATAACACTCGCAAGGTGTTTAGGTATGTACCGTAATACCTTGGTATTAAACACGTGAATGCGGTATTAAATGTAGATCTGTATAGGGTCGTGGATTCACTGCAGCTATACAGTGTCGTGTAGCATTTATCGTCCGTGGTAATCATGGTATCATTCACTAACCGCGACCTACCAGCTTAGAAATAGACACCACTCACGACATAGCTGTGAGCCTGCAGCCTTAAGTAAATATATATTACTGAACCCGTTGTTAACCTCAATATATGTCTTTCTGCTCTGTTCAGTTTCTTAAGTTTTCTTAAGTTGAGATGTATTCAATTCTAGGTATTCTCGGTTTAAACTTGGTTATACCAACCTACCAAAAGTTAAACGTCCAATCAGAATGCGATTTGACCAACACGATACGACACACGACGTAGCTGTGATGAATCCGGCTGTAGTTTCCTTAAATTCACATTCTGATTGAACGTTACTTTTTTGGTATCTCGCGTAGTAACCAATTTACAATCGAGTTTACCAAAAATCGATTACTGATCAACTTTTAAACCAATATGCTTATCAGTTGAATCCGTATTATAGTTACCATCACGATTACGCACGACCGACACGATCGCGGATTGTAGCTGTGAATCTATCGCTCAGAAGTTTCCATAATATTATATCGTTTCTACAGTGTTCGTTGTGCTAGCCTTAAATTGTGTGTTAAAACAGGAATGCCATATTCATGTGTTTAATATCAATGATCGTAACTCATTTTATTGTTTGTCGTATTCATAAGGATATAAAAACGGGCGGAAAACTGTATTTGCGCATGTTATGATGCATAAAATTAATTGTATAAAGTGTAATAATATTATTGTGCGTCGTTTGCTCGTCGAGAATAGCAATTATTAATGTAGGTACATATTGTGAAATAATSACGAAATCGGTTTCAAATCATATACCTATAAGTCAATCACTTGAATTGAATTGGCTTTAGCTAACATATCACATCGGCAWAATCGTCGTCAATAATAAAATCGAATAAAATCATGATAATCAAGTATATGTAGGTATGACAAAACACCTGGGTTGTGATTTTKAAATAGTTTTTTATTATTATTAATYGTGTGTAATATACTCGTATTTTGTTTATGTATTTTTGTTTTTTTACGCGTTTATTTTATTGAGTCGATCTCAGTGTTGTCGTCATTGAATTTTTGATTGACAAAGATGAAAAACAATTATGTAAAACGTATACTCCCTCATCACATGCCCAAAACCACAAATTGCATCATGATTTCTTTAGAAATACGAAAAAACTAAAATTGGTTTGCGATTTTATATCTCAGCAGTAGTTTAAAAGCTCAAAGTTAAATTGTATTATCTATAGTGACTACTATACCTAAAACTTATTGTACGTATTAATTATTTAAGTACTGACTTTTAGCGCAAAATTTAACTTTCCAAATATTATATATTTTTGTTTTAAAATCAAAAGTTATCAATTTCAGCAGAACTTTATTAATTACACAGATAATAGTAATCAGTTACCTTTTTTTGTGAATAGTAAACGATATGTATTAAAAAAAAATAAAAATATGCACATGAAAGAAAACCTATTTACTGTAAATAGACTACCATTGTCCATTATACATATTAATAAGGTTCTCAATTTATTGTAACGAATTCCGAACTATAATTACCATATACTTTGAATATAATCATCTTGTGCCTCTTGTGGTTATAACTTCTTTTAATCTTTTGTGTTTAATCCTCTGTATTATATCGGGTTTTCGGTTAACGACTATTTCGTTATTAATTATTTTTTCAGCTATATYGCGTAATCCAGCTGGATGTATATTAAAAAGATAAGAAGTTGGCGTGGTCCTTATATTTCGGTATAAGTTTAAAACTATATTGTTTAACCTGATAATATCAGAGTGCTTGTGATATCTATAATATTATTGGGATGATCGTTAAAAAACTACTTGTTTGATAAATATATACCTATTTTTAATACACATCGACCGAGCAGTCTTTTATTACTTTATTAAAATAGATTAATTGCGGTAGATGACATTCAACACGGATTTCATGCGAAATCGCTTTTCAATCGCCATAAACCAACCGATTATTATTATGTGTGTTTTGTAAAAGGTATAACATTATACATTATTGAGTCATCCTGCAACGCATAAGCATAATATAGGTAACTATACTGTGTTATTTCTAACAGAAATCTGCTCTCGGCGGAAGACCATGTTTGGCGTCTTTTGTTTTTGCCGGGAGGAAGAGATGACGGTTATGACGATATTGTATAGTTTTAGTTTTGAACACCATGCGTGCAATTTACGTTCACCTTTATATTATTCATCGGTTCTGAGCTCGGTTTGATTCTTTTTTTTTTTTTTAAAAGAATGACGTTTGAGTTCGTTTTATGCTATTTATGTTATATCGGTGTATTATTTACACGCGTTGAAATGATGATAACGAATTTTACTATGTACGCTTGTGTAATTAAGTGAACTTTTTATGCGGAAAAGTTAACTACCCGTGTCCCGCGTCGTTGTTTATAATATATCCCAAGCGTATGTACGTTTGCATTAAATGCATCGGGTTGTTAATCATTTAGTCTGAAACTGAACTGCGTTCATGTTCTGTAATATAATAATATATACTTGTGTGTGTGTGTGTGTGTGTATTCGATGTTATTTAATATTTATCTCCCCTCTCGCCCGATCCGTTTGTGAACAACACTTTTTAAATTAACAATTTAAGATTTCTAACAGCACCGAGAACACTATTCCCTGGGGAAATGTTGTCGAGTTTTTATATCTATACATGCACGTCTGTGTGAATCGCTTTAGTTGGAATACGCCGCCCGTGTTTTATTTATTTATTTATTTATTCGTTTTATGTTCTTAAAAATAAGAAAAACAAAGAAAAGCCTGACCCGCGAGACTTATCTATTTATATAGGGAGAGACGGTGCTTATGTTACATTATACTATTATAGTAATCGTACGCAAAAAAGGGTTGATATAGGAGCGATGCCGATTTTAAATTTTCTACCTTCCACGAAAATTCAAAAACGGCTTGACAGAATTTAATTTTTTATATGCCGTAATTCATATCTAATAAGTATAGTCGTGTCTTTTGCTGCAAGTATTTAATTGTATACTTTTAAAATACCGGTGTTTTCTCATCATATACGCGGTCGTACGACGGTTCGGTCCCTGATGCTAAAAAGGAAGCGCCAGTATTTCTAAGGTTGGGTGGGTCGCATAAATGTCCTGCAGTTACTTACTCAACCGTTATCACACTGTAAACTATACCGACTGTTCTGTAAATAAAACTGAGTGTTGCTTAAACGCCCCCACCCCTCTCCCCCAATACCCTTAAAGGGTATGTAAATCTATGGAACAACTAACGAACCATAACGAACCTGTAAAATACAGATATAGGATTTTGGTTCGGTGTACTTACGGATCGAAGATATTATCGATGTTATTGGTGGTTTAATTTATWTGTTGGTAATTATGGTTATCAATAATCTTAGGTATATATTTCTTTGTGCAACACTAGCAAAGTTTATATTATACACAATTATTAACTTTAATACTTTATAGAGAATGAATAAATTAAATTTCCGGTAACAGATTTTCAGATTGCTCTTTAGGCAACCCTTTCTGAGGGGTTTGGTTTCGTATTTATGATCACACCAATTTAGTATTCGAGTGAAAATGTTCGCTATATAGCGTCATAGCGAGCAGTTACATTTTAATATATTATGCTAATACCGTTATTATTAACCTAAATCACGACGCGTATTTAATAATATATATAACTGAGAACGGTCGTGAAAATTAAGTAAATTAAATGCGATTTTCGTTGCCACCGCCGCTGCTTTTGTTTTCTATTCTCCATGATGTGTTTATTAAAAGGTGTCGCCATAGAACCATAATATGAATGCATAAAAGAGTTTAAAACTGTCTGATTTGGATAAAATGGGAAACACCCCATCGGAAACACAATATTTTGGAGCGAACCTTATTTTTTATTGAATCAGATTTCTTGGTCTTAAAGAGACGTAATCCGTTTGAAATACCTATATTATTACAGGTATTAGGAACGAATWCTACCGGAGACGTAATTTATGGAAAATGTTGTGTAAAAAACGTAATTTTATGTTGATTGAACTATAATACATACCTGCAGAATAATATTTTGTTGAAAATGTTCACTGTTGAGTTTTTATGGTATACGATTCCTAAAAAAACACATTTTTATCAAAACATGTTTCTGAACTTATGTTATTCCGACAAAATACGTTTCAATCAATTATTATGATAACTAAATAATATTTTCCTAAGGTTTATTGCCCCATCGTTTACTTTTCCTTTAAAATACTTTTTTGATAAAACATTTCCTCAAGCAAATATCTTTTCGACAAAACGTGTTTTTATACAAATACAATTTAGTTAAAATGATTTCCAAGGTTTTCTTTCCAGTCAAATATTTTTTAACAAAATTTAGACCTCCCCGTCAAAGTGTTTGTGATTTGTGTAGAAATATTTTAGCCCGTTTTTCTATCAATTATTATTTTTACCTGTCTTATAATGTTTTGTTTACAGTGTTTTATGTTAGCKCTGCCATCCTTTCTCAAAACGTTACGTACATCATTCATATAATATTAATATATTATTATATGGTTCAAATCTCCCTAATGTGCCTTTCAAATATACATTCAAATTACAGAGCTACCTGCTGTAATTATGATTTATGGCTTTCAGAAAGAGTATAATTAATAACTCATTTGTAATTATAAAATTATGAAATATAATYGTAGCCGTGAATTACAAAATAAAGGAACAATGAGAGCATATTATAATATACCTACAAAAAAATTTTATTTTTTATTTTTACACGTATATTACCTTTCATAAAATCACCTGTTTACACACTAGACTATTTTCCCATCAGAATATTTATCTTTATTTTGTGCATTTATGTAAATATATATATATATACACATATGTATATGTTGCATCTATTTTTTATGCACTATAGTTATTTGTTTTATATTTTGTCAGCCTATAACCCAAACACGTTTTTACTCGTATTATTATTATATTCCATTGGAGATCATCTTATACTCTGTGGTACACATTTAATATTTTATTTATCACTATCTAATTGATTATTAAGATTGTTCAGAAACAGACAAGTAAAAAAAAAAACTATAAAAAGAAATTTTCGAATTTATTCGGTTAAACAAACTGACATAGCATATAATTATATTATACATATATATGTATGTGTGTGTATAAATTAGGTATAAGTAGGTATCTATAGTAATAAATAAAACCCGCGCGTTCTGTTTATGTAATAATAATGTGTTGGAGAATTCGTCATAATTTTATCCAAGACTACAACAAACAATACTTATTAGTGTGTTGCGATAGAGTTAAAATATTCAGATATAGAGTTTGGGTGGGATCAAAGTATTATAATGCATTCTTTCGGCGTTTGTTGGCTAGCAACCGAGAAGCAAACACATCGCAGATAACGACAATATTTGGTTCACCTCTACCATATAATAATATTATAAATGTGTCGTTTCAGTGTTTTATATACGTGTGAGTCTTAACGCGTATGTACTTATAGGTACATTATATTATATTTTGTCAATCGTTTGACTGGATTTGAATTTCCCATCGTACGCGTAGAAAGAAGCTTCTACTTCATCTTTGCACAACGCTCTGCGATACGATATCTTAGTACCAATTATATTATACTGTTTATCTATCTAGTGGAAACGTTCAAATATTATATCTAACTGGGTTGAGTTATTCTCTTAGTAGCTATGTAGATTAACAACAACCGTCCGTTATCTAGGTTTTGTGAAGCCGCGTCTTTCGTTACGAACGAGTGATGTATTCTCATAATATAATACTTTTAATACTTTAATAATGTTATCATCGTATACAATAATTATCTCCGTGCAACCGTATGACCTCTAATATTTGATAACGACAGCTGTTAGCCGGGTTTCCATCTCAAACTTCTATACTCTTATTAGTGATTTCACTTCATTCAAGTCTGTAACGCACTGTAGATAGGTACAATATATGTATATATTTTATATACAGGTATAGGTTGTACTACGAAAAACGCAACCAACAAGATAAACATAATAGATAATCCTTGCAGTCATCCTATAATGCAGGATGTATCACAAGTTCTGACATATACCGGATGATTCTTTTATCATTGAACACTCATTATTTCAAAAATAACTAATGTTTTTKAAAATATTTTCTTACATAATTTTAAGTTGTTAAAAAACCAACGATTTTATTAAAAAATGATATTTTTAAATATTTTTTACCCTAATCATTTTTTAAGTTTTTTTACTTTTGTGAATGACAACACAGAGTTTTAATTTCATATTCTAAAGCAGAATATTTTTCTAAGTTTTTTGATTCATAAAAATCGAATTTAGCGCTAGTAGTTTATAAGTTATAGGTATTCAAAGTTTTGATTGGCAGAGTGGAGTGGTACGGGGTTACCCCGCAAAATGTTTGTCCACTACTCCACTTGTCTAAACTTTAAATACTTATAAACTCATTAACTTACTCGTCCTAAATTCGATTTTTATGAATCAGAATACTTAGGAAAAATATTCCGCTTTGGAATATGAAATTAAAACTCTATGTTGTCATTCAAAGAAGTAAAAAACTTAAAAAAAATATAAGGATAAAAAATATATTTTTTTAATAAAAACGTTGGTTTTTGAACAACTTGAAACTATGTAAAATAATATTTTCAAGAACATTAATAATTTTTGTAATAATGAGTGTTCAATGATAAAAGAATCACCCGGTATATCATGTGATGGACATATGGCCCAAATGTCATAGCTTCGTTATATACCTTGTATAATACTATAATAGTATAATAGTTCATGCGAGAAATATGCAATATTATTGGTATTTATGTTTTCCAAATTACTATTCTAAAAATTTTTATTTAAATGTTTATCCTGCTGTCTATTATACACCGTTAGACCCCTTGTGAGAATCTATGCCTCTATATATAAATAACCCATTCTATAACCATATCATTATGATGGTGATCATTTTTATTTGGTTTTGGTTATAGTCATATTTTTTTTTTTACGACATAATATTATGTACTGCATAATAGTGCTATTGCAACATACGATTATAATTCGCGTATAGTACTGAAGTGCCTACAAGAAATGATTTTCCATTTTAACAAGCTCACGTATTTGTGATGGAAAAACGATTTTGACCATTCCGTTTTTGGGCATGTTCGTCATGATGATTGTGACACTCGTCATGATATACATATTTTATACTATTTTTGTTGGATGTTTATTTGTCACCGTATATGCTCGTTGACTAATCGTATTGTTTATATCACGCAGGACTATACAGATCTACTTGGTGCGGGGCAAGCAAAAGAGCAARCTGTTTGAGGAGCAGAGAACCCGAGTGAGCGGGTCCGATGTACCAGTGGTTGCCCTGCGGTTCAAAGAAGTACACATGATGTGGTTGACATGCGACTCGGTAAGTCAAAATACCATTGTTTTAATCGAATAATATATTTTCGCGATATACCTATATTATATGTTGTTTCAAATACTGGCATTGTGGGAATGATATTGTAGTTTTTTTGAACAAAGATATCCGCCTAATTAATTTCCTCTTTCTGTTAACTAAAAAAAAACGAGCCTTATCGCGTGGCTCCCTAACTACAAGAATTAATTTACGCATAATCACAAGTAGGTAATCACAATTATATATTTAATTTGCACATTTCTAGTCGATCCCGAGAATTCTATTACTTATATTCTATACTTTGTGGTGTCATTCGAATAACTTATGTTTAGTCATATCCTATATAATAATATAGATAAATAGATTATAGTATAAATATAGTATATATATATATCTTTTTTTTCTTATAAATTCTTAAAATCTATTTATCTATAGATAAATAATAGTATTATCCTGTATACGATAATACGGCGTCTTACATTAATGAAATATATATATTAATATAATATGTTCATTATAATAGTGCTATATAATTTAGCTTGTTTTGTGGTGGTCGAATAACGTTATGGTATTATGTCTGTAATTTGGTTAAACAACCTACATATTAAAATCATGATATAGTCTGTATTACATTTTTTTTGTTAATTTTAAACTAATTGATTCAATCTGTTGGCTGACGTGCAGGTTTTCGTAAGGATTTTAGGAGTTTTATAAAATTTGTAAACTAATTTTGATATGTACGCAATTATTGCGTACTTTAAGTGTGTGTTTGATATAATTGCTCAGAATAGCACATTTCAATAACACCTTAGGTATCTTACCACGCAAATACAAATTGATTTGTCGAAGGGRATTTAATTTTTTAAAACGCTGTTTTTATGGGATAGCTTGGCACTGTTTATAAACATATATATACGAGTATATATATATATATATAAATCAAATACTTTTGTTGAGTGAATAAGTTTGTTAGGTATTAATTTATCAGTTTTGTTGTTCATATTTTTAATAATGATTATTTTCTATTACGAGTACGAAGTATAGTTATACGACATTGCTGCAGTCTTTGCCTAATTTTGTTGATATATATATTATGAAGTATACTACAAATATTGGACATTGTCTGTGCATACATATTTTATAGTTTGAGTATAAATCGTTTGTATAATGATATTCCAGAAAATATAGGTCATAAATCATAATAAATAGCACATATACATTATACATACAGCTTTGGAGTCTTGTTATAACTATAGAGACCTTCGATTGTARGTCATTCAACCCGGTATATGTCCCTATATAATTCTCTAGTGTAATTATATAATCGATTTCTATATATATTGCATTCGGTGCGTTTGGATTCCGATYGGTATTATGTTTTCACCAGCAGGATCGTAGTATTCGTTTTGGAACATTGCRAAATGTTCTACTTATTCAGACAGCAKACGTAATGTTATGGCTATTATGACGCATAACAACCCATGGTGGTCGGTATGTTATTGGTCTAGATACTCTGCAGGAGAATTCGTATTAGTGATTTTTGCGGTTTGGAAAGCTCACCGTGAACTGTAAAATTCGAATTCGAGGCGAAAGATGTCGTTCGTTTGATATGCATATATATTCGTGGAAAACATTCCGAAGATTCAATGACGTATAACGACGATATATTATTTTCGTTGTACTCTATACGAGTACTTATTTTACRATAATGACGACAACTTGACGGAAAATAATGTAGCTAGGGACTTTTGACACTGCATTTCTATGCTGCGTTAACTGTCTAGGATGCAAGGTTTTTGTACCTATTGTTTGTAAATATTATTGTACTATATCATGACAATGCACGCCTGGGCGAAGGCGACGTCTTGAACTTTAAACGGCGGGCACGCTGTAGTATAATATTAACATCATAATAATAATACATAGGAATAGTATATAGGGCGCCACATGAACCAAGCACAACACACGATGATATTCTATAATATTAATATTATTTACGTGTATATTTTACGGTATATCCGGAGTAGGTACAGCCCGTATCACTGGTTGACTCGGTGCAGTATTTAGTATTATTTCGGCATACGATATGGGTACGACCGTATTATCATATAAAATAATATCATAGAATATTATACACGGTGTAGGTATATGCGCGTTTTTTTCGGGTTGGGTCATCCTAGTTTCCGTTTGTCCTTGTGCTGGTGGAATGTGTGTGACGCGTACGAGACGCCTGCCGAGAATTCGAGTGGAGATGCATAGAAGATAATAAAAAAATCATAATGTTATTCAAATTACATTATTATATGCTCTCGCGTAGTCGTGTGTATTATAATGATGCGATGCCCAAAGTTCGAGGTTTATCGTTCGTCAGCCGAGTAGTCTCTAATCGTGAATTTAAAAAAAATAAGACGACGAAATTGTTCGCAGGGGGGAGAGAAGAATAAAAGTTTACACTTCAACGCCGATCGTGTAAACCGCTTCGTAGCCATAGGATAGTCGTGTAGGTATACGAGTGTGTCGCAGATCCTGACAATCGCATTTTACTATTATAGCGGTAGTAAAACCATATGGAAAATTGCTGCACAAACACGCGTAGCGTTGGAGAACAAATATTATCTTACCGAAAACAAAAATTATTAATATCTGGAAGAAAACATTATTTGGGTTATACGCGGTTGTGAAAAACGCGCGTTTTCTACGTTCGCGTGCCTAACCTCGAGCCCGATTGTGTGACGTTGTATTTTCATTTAAGTTTTATTGTTATTGTTGTTGCTGTTATTATTACTATTATTTTTCCTTATAATATTATTATTATTATTATGTTCTCTTTCCTTCTTTGTTTCCATATTATCTGCGCAACGAATTTTCGGCAACAAAGGAACGGAAACGCTGCGGTGACGGCGGTGTGTGTGCCATAACGGTCGGTCGCGGTGGGGTGGGCGGTCGACTTGGTAGATATTATGATGACCGGCCTTGACGCTGGCCGAAATTTTATAAAATCGCCGAACCGACGTCCTTGTGTGTGTGCGAGTGTGTGCGCGTAAGTGCGTGTAAGCTAGTGTGTATGTGTGTTAGTGTGTGTGTAATATGCGAGTTAGCGCCTGTTTGCGAGTGCGCGCGCGAAACGACTAAGAGAACGGATCAAGGACACGACATTGGTTTTYGGCTAGGTCCTTATAAAACACTTCCCCCTCCCTCCCACTGACCGATTTTTTTTCGCGGCTTGTCCGCGTTATCACGCGTACACACTAGATTGCGGCAACTTACGGTCGTGGGGAGGAGGGGCTTGTTATTTACAATTTCTTTCCTCCCCGGCAAAAAAAAAAAAAAAATGAAATTCGTCGGTTCTTTTCTTATTCATTTACTTCTATTATATTACTACCCACTCGGTCACCGCCGTCGCCGGAACAACAGACAACGTTCGGTTTCCCTTTCATTCATCACTTTCGTTTTAGATTTTTATACCTACTCTGTCCGCCGTACATGCAGGCGCTCGTCTGCTTCTCTCTCTCTCTCTCTCCATCATGCCATAATATCTTATTAGCTGCCGTCTCCTCTTGTGTGTACCGTTCTGCATTTGACGATTTACATAATGATAATATTATTATCATTTTCTGCATTTGAGTCTTTAGTAGGTATCATTATCACCGGTGTTCGTGTAACACAGCACACTTGTACGAGTGATGATCACACAAATCGGATTTTTTTTTTATTTCTACCAAAAATAAATGCATGTAATTTTATTTWATTTTTTTTTTTTATTATTCAAATTGCTAACTCAACAATGATTATTAGCGACGCATAATATTGTCGATTTTATTGCAATGACGTGTCACGATATCGACTATTGGTTTTCGTTTTACTATTGTCATCGACATCGTCATCATACTCATTGGCTGCRAATAATTAATTCTTACATAGTTTTTCCGAGATGTCCTGATTTATTAGGTATTTTCCCGAACCGCATTTGTTTGCTGTGCGCACGATAAATATAATATAATGATATATTGTGTTCATAATTATGCGTAAGAACAACTCAATAGTCTGCATTATTATAATATACTGAAAACGTGGTCTAGTTAAAACCAATTTATTTTTATTTTCCGTGATAGTCATATCAATATTTTAATTAAACCCGTTCATGTAGGTTATCTATATTAACATTTCCTCGTAATAATTAACAATGGCTGATTTCTTTCTTGACACTTGAATGAATTCCATTCGTGTCTACACCACATTTTTCATATTATACGAAATTCTTTTTTTAATATCATAATAATAAAAAATAATATATACATATATATTAGAGATRTTACGAACCATAATATTTAAGATCGAACCGAACCCGAACCGAACTTTTCTTTAAATTAACGAACTCGAACAGATCCGAACCTACACACTTTTAATCGAACCCGAACCGAACCGAACATTTCAAATATTTTATCGAACTCGAACGGAACATTTAAAATTAAATTGGATATTATTTTATTTAATATTCATTYATTTATTTATTTATTTATCATTTAGCCACCATACCTCAGAATTATTGAATAATGATTTTACTACTATTTACTTAAATACTTTAAATACTTTAATAGTTAATAATTATTATGTATGAGATTTATTTTTAATTATTAATATGATGATAACTGTTAAGAAAAAGCGAAAAACATCAATATTTAAAACAAGCAAACATTAAACAACTAATATTAATCTATTAATTATTAATTAATTCAATAATAATTTACAATTTTAGCCGTTACTCCATCGACTTTTATTTCTCTGGTTCGATTGTCGAACGGAACTATTAGATATTTGGTTCAGTATGTGTTATATTGTGTATTAAAGCTATTTCCACACRTCATTACTATAATACAACGAAAGTAGTAATAATAATGATTATATTTTATTCCTAGTCAATAATGTTTATTTCCTTACGACGCGTTAAGGCTAAAAACTATATTAATGTTTTTCCATCGTCGCCCGACACCTCCATCGCAATATGTCAG